CATGCATGGAGTCCATTAATAGAAATTAAATATCAAATTCATTCAAATTTAATACAACAACAACAACAACAACAACGAGAACACCACCACCACCACCACCATCACCAACAACAACACCAACAACGAGAACACCAACAACAAGAAGAAGAACAAGAAGAAGAACGACAACAACAACAAAATAGTATTTATTTAACTGAAGATCATTTAATTTTTATATATGATAATACTACCATGGTAAATAGTAATAATAATAATCATACCAAAATGATGAATAAGAAAGCTGTATTTGCATCGACTGTTAAAAAAGGTCAAATCATTTTTGTTTATAATCATCATTATCCTCATCATTCGAATGAATTAATCCAAGCAGAAATTATATCAGTTCAATTAAGAAATTCTTTATTGATTAATCATACACAATATGAAAATCGATATAAAATTGGTTTATATGCACCAATTACTGATACTGGTACAATGATTGTAGATAATGTTTTAGTATCATGTTTTGCTTATATATCTAATCATCAATTAGCATCATTTATTATATCACCATGGAAATTAATTTACAACTTATTATTCTATATGAATAGATTTATTAAATTATTTCAATATAATGAATATAATGATGAAATAGATTCAATCAATTCAAATGGTATACCATGGTTTATTCAATGGATTTATAAATTCATGTATGAAATTTTACCGGATTCACAGTTTTATAAAAGTACATCTTTGATTTAAATATTAACCAAATAGCAGTTATATATGAAATATATAACAATGTATCACAACGTAAATCTATCTATCTATCTAACCTAATCTATCTATCTATCTATCTATCTATCTATCTATCTATCTATCTATCTATCTATCTATCTATCTATCTATCTATCTATCTATCTATCTATCTATCTATCTATCTATCTATCTATCTATCTATCTATCTATCTATCTATCTATCTATCTATCTATCTATCTATCTATCTATCTATCTATCTATCTATCTATCTATCTATCTATCTATCTATCTATCTATCTATCTATCTATCTATCTATCTATCTATCTATCTATCTATCTATCTATCTATCTATCTATCTATCTATCTATCTATCTATCTATCTATCTATCTATCTATCTATCTATCTATCTATCTATCTATCTATCTATCTATCCATCCTTCATTATTGTATCTATGGAAACTATAATTCGAATGAATTTTACATTTCACTTTAAATATATCATTTTATTCTTTCAAATGTTTTGTAAACAAGTTCTGAATAGGTCAGTTAAAATACTTGTCAAAACATCATAACTCGTTAAAGACTGGATAAATTACTTCTCTAATTAATGATCATTAATAGTGAACTGCAAAATTAATAATTCATGGATTGTAAATGTTTATACATTCACATAAAGACTATAAATACCATTTATTTGCATATTCATAATGGAAATACTATTTCCATCAGTATTAGTGTTTATTAAATACACTGAAATTTGCATTAGTACTAAGTTATACATATAAATATTCATTTAATGGACACATGGAAGAGAAATATTTATAAATGAATAAATCAATCAATTTAATACCTCATATTCATAAGAGTATATCTTGTCATGAATCGAAAATGCTCTTTCTGATGTCACTTGTTTACAAATTTTCAATCGACCATTAAATTCAATTGTATATAGTGTTGTTATTATAAATATACAGTATGTTGTGATAATAATATTATAATTTAATTTAAATAATCAAAAGACTTCAGTCTGTTGTGAAGTGTGGTAAAAAGTTTGAGATTTCATTTATACTACTAATAAAAGTTATAAGTAGCTTAACAAATATAGCTCAAATGAATGTACTGAAGTACTATAAGAAATCATGCTTTTTTGTGGTCATATTCAAATTGACTAATATCTGTCTTGAGTACCAAAACTCTGGAGTACGGCACAATAAATCTATTTAACAATGTTGGGGAACTACACATCAAAGTACCTTACTAGTTAGGATTCTGTCAGTGAGTATTGAGGACATCACTTGAAGCCATTTATCGTCCAGATAAAGAGATAGAGGAGATAGAGGAGACTACAGTCAACTGACAGTGAATGAGCTGTACATTCTAGTCATTGAAACATGACTGCAGTTGGATGTAAGTGATTCTGTTCTGTGAGCTCTGTTTTTTGTCTTCGCTTCTGTCCGTCTCTCTGTTTGTCATTCCCACTGTCCGTTCACCTATACGCTTGTCTATCTCTCTATCTGCTCTCTGTCTATCTACCTATCCGTCTGTTTGTCTTCATGCTTTCTCAATCACTCATTCTCCACACAATCTACCAGCAATTCGTTGCCCTTCTCCTTTTTCACTCTACACGATCTTGCATAAATTCTGTGCAAATGAACACCAGGAAACTACACACAATCACATCAATCAACCGATGATCACAACTAAGCATTGATTCACGCATTTCTCGGTCGATCAATCAACTCTCAGTGTACGACAAAGTGCATCCACAAAGAGCATCTCACATGAAACAGAGGAGACTGCAGTCAACTGATAGTGAATGAGCTGTGTATTCGAGTCAGTGAAACATGTCTGCAGTTGGATGTAAGTGATTTTGTTCTATGAGCTACTTAGATTGACATAAGTAGTATATGACGTTAGTCAGGAACAGAATATCTGGTAGCAGAAAAACAAGAGCATCGAACAGTAAAGAATGGGAATAGATTGCAATTTATATGAAAATAAAAAAACAATAAAGTGTGGGCCATTTTGAGACAACTGATGGTCGTTTTACAAATTGAGCATTTACTATACTGGTTGTTAGAATTTATTAACGCTTTCTGTAATTTGTTGTGAAATACATTCGACTGTTCCCCACTGGTGTTCTTGTTCACTACTTTAATTTGACTATTGACGTTGCAGTCTACTGAATGAGGTTTTATCACAAAATACTACGTCGTAAACCAAGGTTCGAATTCTCTTTACTAAGTTTATTAGTATCCAAACAACTTTTAGTATTATTATATTGTTCATCTTGTTTATTGTGTTTTACACTTTGATGGCGACCATTTTAAGCCGGTTTTTCGACCCAGTTAATAAAGTTATTCGGCCATTACCTTTTCTGTTAGATGACATGGTTTCTGTTTCTGTGGATGATAATTCATTATGCTTTTTCTTAGGCTTTGAGAAGCAAACATTTAAAACAGAAAGTGATAAGTGTGATAACGTCAAAATAGTCTTAGTCAACTAATCTTAGACAATTTTTCTTATGGAGTATCCTCCTGCTGAGGAGTTCCACATTAGGATGAAACAGCCATCCAGTGCTTCCAGGTTTTCCATGATGATCTAGCTTAAATTGACCTATGATCTCAACTATTGAAATTACTATATTATCCACAAAAAACCCCTTCTGATAATAATTAAAATGTTTAATCTCTTTTAAGGAGGATACTTTCGATGAATCCCTTAGATTATAGGTAGAATACTGAAAATTTTAGGCCTACTTGAAATTCATCAAAAAGAAAATTGGATTTCGGTACAAATTTCAGTGATTTGGTGTCATTATGTATTATACTTAGAGTCTGGTATTCTGAATCATATTACCCTGATTATTTGGTTTCCTTAGTAATGAGAACACTGTCATTCTAATACTGAAATAAAAAGGGGGGGGTACTGTAAGGAATCATTAATTTATCATCCTTATAGAAAACACGTTTCGTGACTTCATTGATCAAACAGACCAAAGAAACTAGTTGGCATGTATAACTTGAAGATTAGGAGTTTTTAAAGATGGAATTTTAAGAGGTTAATGTGCTAAAATTACACTTCCTTTATATGACTGATCAATCACTGATCAGTGATGATGACGCCAGTAACTATGAAGCTAAGTGAAAGAGGATCAACTCCAATGGAGAGAAATAGTTTTTTCAAGATTATAAAGGTATATCTTGTTGATGAGTTTCAAATAGCACGAAACCCAGGACTGGGGTTTCTGTCAACTACCTCCAACCACCACCCTAAATATACTCTCTTAGCTTTACTTATTTAAAAAAGATTGAAAGAAAGATGCAAAAATAAAGGGTGAGGTGGATAAATGAGTTTTGATTGCAGAGGTTCTATGACAATTAATTTTCCACTTTTTTAAACCATTCTCAGGTACTACAATTAAACTTCCGTTAGAAGGTCTGACTTACGGAGTAGGGTTTTAAAATAACAGTATACAGAATTAGAAGTAAATACAACAGATGTCGATCGTCAGGATACTCGTTTCCTCACCTAGTACATAGACTCATATTGTTGGTGTGTAAAATGAAACGACTGTTTATTCATCTATCTGACTTATTGAAATTAACTAGATTAATCAGCTTTCTAGTGTATTTATTTCAATGATATTTCCGATCAAAGCAGAGTACTGTCTTTCTATGTTCCCCTTGCATGAATGTAGTACGAAATACTAAGAAAGGAATTATCATTTACAATCGGTAGGTATTCATCTATGTATTATATTTGGTGCAAGTATATTCAGATACCATTATCATTAGTTGTCGAATAGCATCATGTACACATTTAATTAAATACAATTTGAATCCCTGATAGATATGCCATAAATAAACCTGGAAGTATACGTTGATTGTAATTTTATTAACCTAATGATGAATTCACAAAACTGTTCATCATAAAGAGATTAGTTGTTCTAACATATTGCTTGGCGAATTTCACGATCAAACATTTAGTCACAGGATCGAGTTCTTTATAACTTACAACGATTGAAGCAGTAAGTCATTCTTGCCATTCTTGAAAAAAGTAGATATCTTTATAATAGTTTAGCAAATGAACAGTCTGTAATGAAAATGAAAAGTATAAGACAGGCTTTAAACTGCATGGATTTTTAATATGAATTAGACAAAGTTTAAAACGATAAGTTTAATACCGAAATATACACATTAATGAATGAGCAAATAGTTAGTTCAAAAAAAGACTATCCTAGAGCGTGTAAACATAGATTATTTACAAATTCCCACAAAACGTCTTACGAAACGACAACCACCTGTTGAAGAAGACGATGATGATAATGATGATGTTGATGTTGATGATGATGATGATGATGATGATGATGACAACAATGATGATGGTGGTGTTGGTGTTCGCTTGTCAATATATTTTAATCCACAAGATGACCTATGTAAAGTCTTTTTAAAAGTGAATTTATGTCTGACTATTGTTGGTGATCTATGTTTAAAACAATGTATCTCACAGAATTTTAAATGCTTTAAACAAATTGACATTATTTATAAGTATCAGAATGGGTTTTGTGAAGATTTTTAGAAATTTCACTGGTTGAAATCATGAGTCAATTGAAGCTAGATCACCATGGAAAACCTGGAAACACTGGACAGCTGTTCCGTCCTATTGAAGGACTCCTCAGCAGTGCGCATTCACGATCCCGCCTCCTGCGAGATTCGAACCCAGGACCTATCAGTCTTGCGCCAGGCACTTAACCAACTAGACTACTGAGCTAGCTGGGATCTAACAGTGTTAATGTCTAACTTCAACCAATCCACAAAGTTGCGCCACCGTACACCAATTGTCTTCAGTGAGTTCCTATCTCACAACAGACCTGGTTGCTGAGGAGTCCCATACTAGAACGAAACGGCCGTTCAGTGCTTCCAGGTTTTGAGATGGTGGTTTTCCATGTTGGTCTAACTTCAATTGACTCATGATTTCAGCCAGTGAAATTATTTATAAGTGTTATCAACAACAACAAAAAAATTAGAAGGAACGATAGTACAGGTAGGTGATCTATTACGCAAATCATGGTTGTTTTTCCATTCCCAGTTCAGTTAGTTATGTTGATAGAGGTATACAACTATTCAGTGGATAATAGGAATAAGCATCATTAGCTGTTTGTCATCAAATGACATGAAAAGTGATATTGATAAGCTTTTTGTTAGAGAATCTTGAGATCAATTGATAAATTAGCTAACTTGCATATCGATTATTTTGATTCACTGAAAACCTTTAGTCACGGAGTCAGGTTTTGTATCCTATTTGTTTTGTATGAAAATGGAGCAATGTGTGCTTTTTGTTTAAAATAATTTCTAGTTTAAATTATTTTTTCAGGTTAGCATTTGTTTAGCGAGTTAGCATTCTACGGGATGGGGTCGCTAACCGCATGTCAGACCCTCCACCTTTATCCGAGCTTGAAACCGGCAGTAGCCCCAGGAAGTCTCCAGGTGGCGACTTATGCTCCATTGAGAGTAACAGGCGTAAGTAAGCAAGTAATTTCTAGTTCCCAGTGAATATTGTGAATAACGCCAACTTTGAATACACGTTATTTTTGGAAGATTTGTGCAGAAATTTAATGAATTCCAATACAGAACCCTTATCACTGAGATATTAGAATTGTAGTGTCGGTTATTATGTTAAGCTCATATACTTTATTCTAGTTTTCGAACAGCCCAATCTATTCATTCTACTTGAGTCATATTTTGACCTTTTTAATAATTATCCGTTTATCAATCTTGACTGTTTTTATATGAGCGCGTAGGTGTGCGTACATTTCTTATCCCATTACTCATCACATGTCTGTAACTTATTTTTGTGTGACTATAAATATTAATTAACGCTTGGCTAAATGGAGTTGGCTTACCCGCCATCTTCACTGCGCGTCGTTTTGCTTCTCTCTATTCTATTTGTCTCATACAAAAGTCCATTCTCGTTATTTGATTTATTTAATTCCGTTATCGACTAACGCCATTTAAGTCGATGATTATAAACGAGTATAGGCGACATATACATACGACAGCAATGATTCAATAACAATCATTCATACGATCTATTTGGAGTCAGAACTCGGGCAACTAAAGTGGAGAGTCCGTCGACAACATCGCCCGATCTAAATGACGACAAAATAAAGGGCCCCACAGAATAATGATTAACGTAAAATGAAATTGGCTACTACTTGTTCCACTGAAATCTATGTTTTGATGATCATTATTAAAAAGTCACTAGTAACTTTGTGACTTTCAAGATGAATCATATATTTTGTGAATAAACTGTAGTTTTTATTTTTTAAAAAGAATATATTCTTAGTTAAGTAGTCAGTAGATTTGCCTTCTGAAATATATTCAACAAGGAATCAGGAGAAATTTCGTGAGCAATTATTAACTAGGTTTATAGTGCTGACAGTTAAGACATAATAAGTTAATTGTTGATCATGGAATAATCATCACAGGTTTTAAATGAAATAACTCAATCGTAATTTATTCACTATGAGAGATCTACCTTTTAATGGTTAACTAATAACAAACATTTTAAACTTGAATACGAACTAAGAAGTGATAATTGTTAGTTTCTGAAAACAATTTCACAAATTCCATTGAGATCTAATACATTGAAGCTAGACTGATAAGTCTTGTCGATTGAACGCTATATTCGTTTCCTAAGCTATTCTGGTAACCCGCAAGCTAGAATTACACCTGAACACCAGCGAGAAGACGAAAAGTATGAGAGAAATACTTTACTCCAAGGTTCGTTTTTGTACAGAAAACATGGGTATCTATAGATGTTAACGTTTGTTAAATCAACATCATATTTCGGTCAATCCATTAACAATATATTACGCTACTGACCAATAGTAGCACGCCACGTTAGAATTCTAGAATGCTCCATCATGCTCTGATTGGCTAGAACTCTTCGGCTACTTTTGGGCCTCTGGAGGCTCTGTTGAAGTTCTCCGAATGCCGAAAGACTATCATGGAGAACCTGGGAGCACTGGACAGCTGTTTCGTCCTATTGTGGGACTCCTCAACAGTGCGCATCCACGACCCCACCTCGTGGGATTCGAACCCAGGACTTGTCAGTCTCGCGTCAGGCGCTTAACTAACTAGACCACTGAGCCAGCTGGGATCCAACGGTGTTAATGTCTAACTTTAACTAATCCACGAAATTAAGCGACATATCCACCATTGTCATCAAAAAGCTTTATATGGCCTAGATTTTATTGACTTTTCTCATATAGTTCATAAGTCAACTTTATGTCACATTACTAATTACAATAGAAAATAATGAAATTGTGAGTAACTTTCATTGTGAAGTAAGTTCTATTCACAGTCATATTAAGTGATCAATAATTGTGAAATATTTCTCAAAAAAATTTTTTTTTCTTTTTTTCTTTAGGATTTAAGCTGACATCATGTTCACGGGTGAACTGATAGGCTTAGTTACATCAACAGTAAACGATTAACTATGAAGATAAAAGAAAAATTATCTTTACAATAGGTTTTTGATAAATAAACCTTTATCTCTTATCAGAAATGGTTTGTGGTTGATTTTTGAAAATTTACAGATTGAAATCATGAGTCAATTGAAGCTAGACCATCATGGAAAACCTGGAAACACTGGACAGCCGTTTCATCCTAGTATGGGACTCCTCAGCAGTGCGCATCCACGATCCCGCCTCTCGAGACATTCGAACCCAGGACCTATCAGTCTCACGCCAGGCGCTTAACCACTGAGCCAGCTGGGATCCAACGGTGTTAATGTCTAGCTTTATCTCTTATTCAAAATAGATTAATATTAAGAGGAAAAAGTTTATTTTGTCATTGGATAATGAAAGGAACACGTTTTGAAAGCAAAAATAATGCAGATTATGTTTTATAACCCAATAAGAATAATGAATGGTAACTTTTTGGGATCCATTTATGGACTTACTTACTACTTACCTACTTATGCCTGTTACTCCTAATGGAACATAGGCCGACGACCAGCATTCTCAAACGCACTCTGTCCTAGGCCTTCTTTTTTAATTCCATCCAATTATTGTTCATTTTTCCCATGTCTATCTCCATTTCTCGGCGTAATGTGTTCTTTGGTCTTCCTCTTTTCCTTTCGCCTTGAGGATCCCATGTGAGGGCTTGCCTTGTGACGCAGTTCAGTGCTTTCCTCAATGCGTGTCCAATCTAATTCCAGCGCTTCTTCCTAATTTCTTCCTCCGCTGGGATCTGATTTGTTCTTTCCCACAGTTGGTTGTTGCTAATAATGTGCGGCCAACGGATCTGAAGTATTTTGCGTAGACAACTGTTAATAAACACCTGTATCCTCTGGATGATGGCTTTCGTAGTTCTCCAGGTTTCCGTCCCATACGGTAGAACTGTCTTGACATTTGCATTGAAAATCCTGACCTTGGTGTTGGTTGACAGTTGCTAAAAAAAAATGCTAACCTGACAAAATTATGAATTAATATTCTATAAATATTCTTATTGTATAATTATTCAATAATTGCATTATGTGTATTTATAAGTTTTAATTTGACCCATAGACTATTACTATACGATTTATCATTCTTGAGTTATGACCTGTCTATTAATTTCTATCTCCCTCATGCACAGTCACTTTTCGGCTTTATTGTGTACACATGTCATTTTTCTATTTTATGGTACGCTGTGATCTGTCTGGTTAATAGGTAAACCGAGTATGTTTGAAATAAATGATTTATATTTACAGAAGCTGGTATTGTGTTCTGGACTCAAGTGAACAGGCTAGGAGGACATAGGACCAATAAGGACGCTAGGCTGGTCATACCGGTTGAACGTCATTGGTTTGGCACAGTGCTAAGATCGTATAAGTCGTGTTTTGATTGGTGGATATATCACGTGATAAAGGCCGGACATAAAATCGTAACAGATTTATTTGAATATATAAATATTATTACATAGAGGCAACGAATACATATACGCCACACAATTCACTTGATTTGTGTTTGGGCTGTATTACTTCACAGGTGCTCAGACCGAGGCAAGTGGTTTTCTTAGAAGGTCACACCCGGAGCCATCAACCTAAAGGTCTAACCTACAACGTAGTGGAGCAACGTCAAGAGATGCAGTCTCATTGTAGCGAGTGACGAAAGATGAGATTGATATGCCTTTGATTCCTTAGGATCCTAGAGCTCATGTGCACGATTGGTTTAAAATCAGGGTTTTGCAACTCTCCTAGGTGGATCCTCAATATCCACCAACCCGGTTAAAGTGCCGATCATTCGCTTTTCGTCCTCTCAATTTCTTAAACAACACCCCCGCCATGAGAAGGCAGAAAATAGGACTTCCCTGGCAGTGGTTGTATGCACGTGGCCATGTGCGAGCATTTCGATAGGGAGAGCGGACTATTCATACTCTCGGCAGTAGTGGGACATTTTGGGGCAAATAATGCAGAATTTACACCTAATGCGAATTCTATACGAAATATACTTCATTCACTATGATTTACCTCGAAATCAATGAAGCGAAGG